TACGAATTACGTTTACATAACTTAAATAATTCTAAAGTATTTGACACATGAAAATAATATTAGATTTTGATAAAATTCGAATTATTGAAAAAACCTTTAGATTTAGACATTATAAATCTGATTAAAACAGACACTTATTTCGCTCAGAGAATCCAAAAATGCAATAATATATAGGGTATTTCATTTAGAAAAACACAACTTTGATACTTTTAGGGCTTTTGGCACTCTGTATATTACAAAAATATTTTTAAAACGTGCACCCGATAGGCGTCTGTGGATTCATCAAATAATACTTTGCAAAAAACAAACGGGCTAGCCGCATAGCGTGAATAACCCTGTATATTCACGTAGAAGAGACAGGAAAAATTACCCAAGGTTGTCGATCTTGAAAAGTTCCCGTAGTTAGGGAAATGTATAAATCCGCTCTAGTTTAGTAGATTTCATGCAGGCTTTTCCCCTTGACGGTTATTTATACAAAAGTGAAACATTTCAATGTATAATGAATGGTGTGCTGGTTTGGTGAATCGTGTTAGAACAGTGAGCACTATCTACTTTCTAAACAAGCAAGCTAAGCTAAACAGAAAACAGTCTAGTTTCCACTTGCCAAGCCCATGGGTACTTCAAAGCAACGTTTCACTAGTAAAAGCCCATTTTGGGCAAATTGCTTTGAACTACTGAGGCCGAGCAACAAAGCTACGTACATGGTGGTGGCTCCCAAAACTTGGAGAATTTGCGGCATTCTTGCAATGTTCAACTTCAGCGGTCACAATGGTACAAAAAGCACAAGAAAGCAAAAATCACACGTCTTTTCAAATGGTTTATTATTTTAAAATTGACAATTCCAACAGAATTAAAGGATATAATTCAATTTATTGTCTAACTATATATGATAAAAACATTTGTATGAAATACTTTTTTGTGGAATCTTAAAACATAAGTATTATATTACTCTAGAATTTACAATGTGCGTGGTGAGCGGTGGTGTGCTATTCAAGACTACTTCGCTTTGGCCGAAACGAACAATAATGGGCTCAACGTCGGCTAAAATGTGCTTAATAAACGTTTGTTCCCTGAAAGCGTTTCAAATGGTTTTAATTAAAATCTTTCAAAGCAAGCTGAGTTAAGCCCGAAAAGTGATCTTTTTGCATTAAATTACAAAAAAACTATTGTCGATTTATTGCAGGTGACACCCTTAAAATATTACTGGCTCGAAGCTGGTTTAATTGCCATGCTAAAAGCTGCGCTAAAATGGGATTTAGCAAAACATCGCCGCTTTATGTCCCCGGCTAATTTAATACCCTTTTTACCAGAATAATGAAATAATTTTCTGAGACAACTGCGCCTTTGTCTCTTCCGACTAAATTTAAAGTGAACTGAAATAATCCGCCCCCTAAACATTTAGTGACTGAATCGATAATTCCAAATCAAAATCAATTCCTGGGCTTCAGTCATTTATTGTCTATTTATCAATTAAAATACGTTTCGGTGTTTTCCACCATCATCAGTTT